ACAAAAGAAACAAAAGAAAATTTTTCTGGTAATTCCAAAAGGGAACTGTGGAGCAGTGGAAAGAAGAAAATAGCAAAAATAGTCTCGAATAATTATCTAATTATTCAGACAGTAAATCATTGTAGCCAAAAGAAATTTCCTGTTTCAATGCATGGTTATAGTAAAAATAAGAAAAGGAAAAACCAATATAAAAAGTTTGATATTCCCACCATGTTCGATCGTCTATGTATAAAACTTTTTGCGTTGTGTATCCCTCATGTAACATTGTAACTGCACAACAATGTTGATCTTCATGATCATCTTAATATTTGTGAGATTTAATCAGACCATATATGGTAATTAATTGAAAAAAATACAATGCTCGTTGGATAGGTATTAATTAGGTCGAACTTTCACAAGTACAATGTAAATCCCACACTCTTTACGATGCATCCTATACTTGGTGTGCGACACATAAGAATTTCTCTTCAAATTGTTTTCCTCGATGAATTAGTTACAAAATCACAAGCATGCTTGTATATCCCTAAACCCTATATAATTTTAATCTCATCCAAAAAATTGAGTAAAAAACAAGCAAGGAAACACCAAAATTATTGCAGTCTGGGATGATAAACGTATGTGAGAGTGAGAGGTCTACATCCAAGGGACAAATAAATATATTATTGGGTACAAATGCAGAGGTAAAATGAACTTTGTTTACGCAAGAGAATATGCCAAAGACAGTGACATGTGAGAAAGCTTCGTCACATTTTGAAAACAAAGAACAAAACCTTGTCTTAAAAACGGATACAAACCTCATTAAAGGAAAAGAAGGAAGAAGAATGGGGGATGGGTCTGAAAGCCAACAAAACAAAGAAAACAAAAAAAAAAAGCAATAAGGAATCTTGGAAGAAAATCAAATGCTGCATACCTTTGACTGCCTCGTAAATCTTCATTATATTTGGCCTTAGATTCACCAAGACCGCCCAAAGGGGGAAGGAGGGTAGTTTAGGAAACATAAAAAGAAAAAGTAGCAGTACCAAATCTTCTTTGAGTTCTTTATGTTTTATTGACCTATTTTGCATGAATCTTATTTTATTGGGACAACGCAATCTCATACACAGACAGTTTGTGAACAAATGCATCTTGTAATCTTTACTCTTTAGAAGACAATTACTAATCATCATGTTCTATTCCAATGTTTGATTATGTGGAAATTAACTTTAAGGCTAATTTTAATTATAAAACCATCTTCGTTTGTCTTTAATTGGATATGCATTTTGTACGAGCGCATAAATGATTATCAACTGTTGAGAATAATACATCCCACCATCGATTTGAAATGGATATATCCTATTGAGGAAGAGTGATATTTTTTGGGAATTGGAATATCCTTTATATAGAAATGCCAGCTCTTGTGTCAATTCTCAACCAGAATGGATGGTGCTGATTGAAAAAACCAGTTCATCACTTTTGATCTCATCAGTTGCTTTCATTGGAACTGTGGAAGGGAGTAGCCAAGGGTTTATTATACCCACTCCCTTTGCTCTCATTAGTCAATGGGTGGGATGGGACTAAGATATCCGATCAACTCTGAGATAGATACCATTCTTTATCTTCAGAATCATGTATATATTATGGCTTGGTTGAATCCATGAACGTGGTGTTCCCTAGATACCACTTCATGAAATTGGAATGCTTGTGTTCTATAGAATCATGGATCAAAATTTTGAATTTAAGGTCTATTGTGGGACCTATTCTATTGAATTTTGGATGTCATATTCAACGTTTAGGAGCTATTGGCCTTCCTATATATCATTTTGAGGTATATCTTTCTAATATTCCCTTCAAAGATTATTCATGCAAAAAGTCAGACTAAATCAGAAATTATTAAGTAATTTGAATATCCGTATTTTCTTTTCATTTTCATTTAACTAACTGTGTATGAAAAAGAAATACCACTAAATTAATAATTATTGTTTCTTATTAAATTTTAGTTTCTTTATTCTTTGCTCTAAACTCATTAGGTCAGTAATTTTAAAACTCATTATGTGAGTGTGAAAAAATGGTACAATATTGCACTTGAGTGCTTATGACCAAAAGATGAGCCAAAATTGATACCCAATTGCAAGGGGCTTATAGTTCAAGTGGTTAAGAGTAGTTATCCCTACATCCGAAGTCATGTGTTCGATTTTTCCCCCTCCCCTCTCTCCCCACAATATCGCTTACATAAAAATACACTACGGTATCATTTATTTGCACACAACCAAACCAAATTTATGGACGAAAAAACAATTAAATACTAGCATCCTTTCATATGCTTACAATATCCACATATTGATGAGCATGCATGTCCAAATTTCCCTTTTTTCATAATGTCTTCATTGAATCAAAAGAATATGATTTCTGTTAGATACCATTTGAATTTTCATGAAATCCTTCGTCAATTGTCAAGGTTCTCAAAGTGGAGAAGAATGAAGTATATTTCCAATTCTAGTGGGGCCACTTTGTTCGAGTTTATTTTGCCCTTTAGATATCCAATTACAAGGGATGGCCCATTAGCTCTCTGTCTTTGATACAATCTCTCTCACTTTACATGTTCCTTTGCACTATTTCAGTACTACTTTTTCTCGTTATTGCTTCAAATCATTCCCTAAGACCCACATTAGCAGAAGCAAATTGAAAACAATGTCGTACTAAAATCCATCCATACAAAAGCAAAAGCACATAATTCACCAACCATTTCATGAAGATTAAATGATTTAACGCTGATTAGATGAGCAAAATGGAAGTAAACTCATTATTACACGTTTTTGAAACTTGGGGTAGTGCGTATGTGCTATCATTTTCTAGTTAAAAAAATTGCTTAAGTTTTTCTTTTAAGTTTTTAAACTTGCAACTTCACTCATTACTACTTCATGGCCTTAACCCAAATGGAAACTTTGGATTGAGAAAAGTAATTTGGTGGCAGACTCTCTTGCGGATATTGAGCATGATTTAGCTCAGCCTAGCTAAAACAAGGACTGTCTGACCAAAAAGAATGAAAAAGGCTAAAACATGGACTAATTGTTTTCTGTATATAAATGGGGTTGTGGATGCCTTAGGTTTTTTAGTGGAAGTCTTTTTATATATGCTTTTTTAAGTGCTATTTCAAAGGGTTTGTAGTACAAGCGATTGTGGTAAAGAGGCTTACACATAAATATTCACGTGTCACTTTGGGAGTTTCGAATTTCTACCCACATAAATAAAGGTGGGAGGACTTAATTTAGCGGTACTTTTCTTTCAACGTTGGAAATTTGAATTTATTACTAATTATTTTTGCTAGAGCCTAAAATTATGGGACAGTTGGGCTTTTCATCTTCATAACAAAGGCAAACAATGCATTTATATGCAAGTCCCAATCTTGCATATCTATTTGGGACCAATTGGTCATCATAAAAACTACAAGTAGTTAGTGGAGGCTAATGAAGCTATTTAAGGATTTCCATTTGGAATGTGGGTGGATTTTGATTTATGCCTTTGTGGTGCCCCCAACAACAATTGTTCCGCCGTTTGCACAATACATTTTGTCCTCTAAGATGTAAAGTATGCCCCTAATCAATGGTTTAAGACCCAATAATAATCATGAGGATTTGCAACAACTAATACAAAATGCAAGTGACAGCCTAGCTCTCTCTGCTTCTTGGATGCTTATGGGGTCATGGGTACTAAGAGTTTAATACTGGTCAATTAAGACTTCAAACTTTTGGGAAAAAAAAATTTAGACTTCAAATTTGAGAGCCTATCCTAAACCAAAAAGGGTAAAGACCTTGTTTTGTTCAAAGATTGGCTTTCGAACATGTTGTTGTTGAAGGCTCAAGAAGAGCTAGAGCTTGGCATGGGCGGCGGGCACATCAAACCATAGAAGTAGGACACTTTGTGTGACCACACAAATATTGCTCAAATGCCTTCTTCTAAGTGAAAAGATCCCCACGCAAATAATAATTATAATAATGAAAATAAAAATTAAAGATAATGTTATATAAATTCAAATCTATGCTAAAGTGGTTTAGTCTAGTGGAAAGAGCCTTGATTTGCAGACAAGTGATCTCAAATTCGAATCCTCATAACACTTTGATAGTGTGTATGTGAGAAAACCCTCCTCCCCCAATATCGTTTGTAAAAAAAGAAGAAGCTCACATCTCTATAAGTTGGTAGCTTCTAAAGAATTAAAAAGAGAAACCCAACACCCAAAATTTGGGACAGCTGCATGTGTTTCCAAAGACACAAAACCTAGATTGAGCCAAGAAAGCCTCAAAATTGCTTAATAAACATTCTCCCAAGTTCCCAACCCAACATCCACAATCATTTCATCTATAATAACAACATAGAGAATCGCACACATGACACATACATCCACATTGCTGAAAAAAATTAAAGTTTGGAACTTTGGAAAAACCTAAAAGGACAAAAAATGAAGTTTGTTGAGGGAATTTTATACATTGCTAAAGTTGAATGCCTCCCAAAACCACAAAAACCCAACAATTTCACAAAAACACAAAAACACAAAAAACCCAAGTAGAGAATGTATCAATTTGTTTTGTTTATTGTCAAGACACTATTTCTTCAACCCCAAACATTCTTTGCCAGCAAAAAGAAGAAAATAATAAAATAAAAAAGAGCAGCAGAAAACAAATATAGTATTAGTACTTGAACAAGAGCAGATACATTCCCTTTATCTTTTTCCTTCTTTAACTGCTTTTTACTTTGATGGGTAGACCAAAATGGGGTAGAAGGATACAGCTATAGGGGAGGAGGGTATATGTCTGGTTCTCAAACCTGCCCTTCACTTTGCTGACCGTGGGCAGCCTTTGTTCTGCTGACCGGCTCGTTTCTGTTCAGAAGCTAAAGCTAAACGACATGCCCGTTGCCCCATCATGTTGGGCCTGCCTTGAGCTTTGGGGTAAAATATTTTTCAAATTAAAAAAATAAATAGAAATTAAAAAGAAAAGCCCACAAAGACTCTGTCTTTCTCTCTCTCTCTGTCTCTGGGCACTTTATACTGTTCAAATTCGATACTTTGCTGTTGTTACTAAGAACGAGGCCCTTTGGTTCAAAGAGAGAGAAAGAGAAAGCTTTGCTTCTCTCTCTCTCTCTTCATGTCTGCCGCATTGTCTTGTTCTACTTCAGAATCTCATCTCACTTCCACGCATTAAAGCGTTGTCTCTCTTTCTCTCTCTTTCTCATTCCAGTCGTTGTGCTTTCATATTCTTCTGCGCTTCTTTTGCTTCTCTGAGCCTCAACACTTAACCATAGAGAGAGTGTGTGTGTATACATAGCACAACAAGACCAAAACAAGAAAACCCATTTGTTGTTTGCTCTCCTTTCAATATTTGGAGCTTTTTTTTTTAATTGTTTCTGAAAGTTTAAGGAGCTATTGGGAAAACACAATGAACTGAACTTGTTCATAGTCTAGAGCTCCTCAGAGTGAAAACCCAGAAATTGGGGAAGGGGAGAGTATCTTTGGCTGATACTGGTTAAAAAACCAGAAGCCCAAGAATTGCAGAGAATAATACTGCAGAGCTGTATGAAGTAATAGTGAAACAATGAGAGATGAGAATTCCAAGAAAAGCAAGGTTTTTTACTTTCTTCTGCTGGAAAAAGTATTTATTTTAATGAAAAATTTCTGAATTTGTTTATTATTCTTTTGTTTTGTTTTGATTTCTGGAAATGGTTTGCTGATTCTTCTATCCGTTGTTTGGTGAAGCTCTCATGGTCAAAGAAAATGGTCAGAAAGTGGTTCAATATCAAGAGCAAAACTGAGGACTTTCAGGCAGATGATGTTGTTTCTGGAGGTCGAAATCTTTGCTTTGTTTTCTTTACCCATGCGGTACATGATTGGTTCTTGCTATTATTAAATCATTATTGGGGTTCTGGGTGACATAATCTTAAGCTCACTACAGAAAACTGAGAGAAACTATAAAAAGAAAAGTAATTGGTAAATGCTGCTATAGCTTCTAAAATTGACTTATTTTTTAGAAGTAATGTAAAATGCTAACTTCTAAATTCCGACTTATTTTCGTTCTCATAGCTATTCTTATTGTCCTATCTGGTTTGGCTATATATGAAACCAATTTGAAACATGTAAATCCCTTTTGGTGCTTATTTTGACCTCTCTTGTGTTTTCTTTTTTGAACTCAAAATTAATGCATTGCCAATAATTTTCTTCTTCAGGAGGTGATCAGGTCGAATACAGGACTAGCTTCTCAGAGAGGGAACCGTGCACAATTAAGAAAAGCAAGACAGGTTGGGTATAATCTGAAAGAAACTATTTGAATCAGCCCCTCCCTTTCATGTCTCAAGACTTGGCATTATTGGTCTCTTTTCCTCATATTATTTTCTCTCACTTTATTGGACAGAGAAATTTAGCAAGAACCCAGAGCAGGTCCGTCGACGAAAAATGAATCTTGACCATCCTCGAATCATAGATGTAGAAAACCATAGGTAAATGTCTTATACCTTCTTTCACAATGTTCTTAATAAAGTACTTTATCTAATATATTATTTATTGACGAGTTTTCTTCCTTCTGATTTGGAGCAGCATTTTCGTTGCTACATGGAATGTGGCTGGAAGATCTCCACCAAGTAATTTAAAACTAGATGAGTGGCTTCATGCCTCACCTCCTGCAGACATTTATGTTCTTGGGTAAGGTTTGGTTGTTTATATGCTATCATCTTTCTGAACAAACTCTGTTATTGACCCGTTGCTAAAAGATATATGTATACTTCTCTCTTTCAGATTTCAAGAGATAGTTCCCCTAAATGCTGGTAATGTTCTGGGAGCAGAAGACAATGGCCCTGCCAAGAAATGGCTGGCTCTCATTCGAAAGACTTTAAACAATCTTCCCGGTACCAGCGGTGGTAGTGGGTGCTATACACCTTCTCCCATCCCTCATCCAATTGTAGAACTACATGCAGATTTTGAAGGATCAAGTAGGCAGAAGAGCTCTTCTTTCTTTCAACGCCGATCATTCCAGGCGACCCAAAGCTGGAGAACGGAGAATGACCCTTCAATCTCACAACCTCGACTTGATCGAAGGTTCAGTGTTTGTGATCGGGTGATCTTTGGTCACAGGCCAAGTGACTATGATCCCAGTTTCAGATGGGGTCATAGGCCCAGTGACTATTCAAGGCCAAGTGACTACTCAAGGCCAAGTGACTACTCAAGGCCGAGTGACTATTCCAGGTGGGCTTCGTCTGATGATGATAATGGACCAGGTGATTCACCAAGTACTGTTTTATTCTCACCAATGTCCTATGGTGGATCTGCATCCAATGAAAATGGATATAGAATGCCAGGAGGGCATTCAAGGTACAACTTAGTTGCAAGCAAGCAAATGGTTGGCATCTTTCTTACAGTATGGGTCAGGAGTGAACTGAGGGATTATGTTCAAAACATGAAAGTATCATGTGTTGGAAGAGGATTGATGGGTTATCTTGGGAATAAGGTATTGATTGACTTAATTATGGTTGTTTTGATTCTTTTCATTGCATTTTTTCAATTGTAATCAACTTAGCAAATGCAAATTTTCTGTTTGGATTAACAGGGATCCATCTCAGTAAGCATGTCTTTGCACGATACAACCTTTTGCTTTGTTTGTACTCATTTAACATCGGGACAGAAGGAGGGTGATGAACTAAGAAGGAATTCAGATGTCATGGAAATCCTTCGGAAGACCAGGTTTCCACGGGTTAATGGCTCCCGCGCGCTGAAATCCCCAGAAACAATCCTGGAGCATGAGTAAGATTTTTGCTTATCAACCATTGATTACATATTACATTATAGTGTTCAGCTGCGTGTATATGCCTATTTTATAATTACCATTGCCCAATGATTTTCTTATAATAAACTAATAATGTTCTCTCACTTCTTATCTAGTCGAGTTATATGGCTTGGGGATTTGAATTATCGAATTTCCCTCTCTTACCGCTCTGCTAAAGCATTAGTTGAGATGCAAAATTGGAGGGCCTTGTTAGAGAATGACCAGGCATGTTTTCAAGTCCCTCAATATATTTCTCTGTTTTTAATCCTTGCCTTTGTTCTTTACTACTGCAGTAGTAAAAGTTTCATCATAAATTGACATTGGTTCTTTCGACAGTTACGGTTAGAGCAGAAACGTGGTCGTGTCTTTGCTGGCTGGAATGAGGGGAAGATTTATTTTCCACCAACTTACAAGTATTCAACTAACTCAGACAGATACGCAGGGGATGATATGCACCCAAAGGAGAAACGTCGAACACCTGCTTGGTAAGACTTTCTTTCCTACATTATGGAGAATTATGCTTGAAATAGAAGGGAAAATGGGGTGTAAAGTGAAGAAAAATGGATTGATCTTAGAGCAAAATGATGAAAGTTCTGCAGCCTGTGCATGGGTATGCCAATAACCAAAAACTTGCAGTGCTAATTTGTTTACTTTTGTCTGTGAAGGTGTGATCGAATATTGTGGTATGGTGAAGGTCTCCAACAATTATCTTATGTCCGTGGGGAATCTAGGTTCTCAGATCACAGACCAGTTTATGGGGTATTTTGGGCTGAGGTTGAGTCAAGCCAGAGCCGGTTGAAGAAAAGCACGAGTTATTCTAGTTCCAGGATTGAAGTGGAGGAGCTTCTTCCATATTCTCATGGATATACTGAGCTAAACTTTTTCTGAAGGATGAGAGAACAATGATGACCCACACCGGTCCTGCATTCAAGTATGCTTTCTCTCTCCCTCTCTGATGCCTGCACACAAATGATATGGTTGTCTGAGTGTGTGTTTCACTTGCAGATATATATATTATATTTTAAAGTTATATAGTTTAGTTGTTCCACTAGGTTGCCAATACATGTTGAATAAGTTAATTTTTTCTTTCCTGCAAACTATAATTGGTTTTGCATCCTAAATTATTCAAGCGAACACCCCATTCCCTTTCTCCCATTTGACCCTTGTTTCATGAAAGTTTCATCTGTCACACTCCTGAGCATTCTGGTTGTCTGTGGGGTATAGGAACCTTTTAACTCCACCGCTGTCCGGCTCAATCAGATCCTTCAATCCATACATTTGTCATCCTGTAGATATGCCTTAAAAAAATCTCATTGAAGGAGAGGAATGATGCCTCTTTAAGTAACCTGAAAGTGTCTAAAAATTTTTCTCTTTTTTTTTTTTCTTGAGCAGTAGATCTCTTGCTTCTTTTTGTTCCTAATTTACAATTTGGTCCCCAGTTGCAGGCGGGAATCACTTTGAAGAACTAATCTTGAAGGGTGATGGAGACTTCTCCTAGCCCACAAATCGAAAAAGGTTAGTCTTTTTTTCTTTTTGACTTTTCTTGGTTTTGCTGTACATCTTGGTTTTGCTTTGGCTAATTTGACCCTTTACTTTCTCTTATCAGGTGTTAATTTTGCAATTTTGGTCAGTTTAACTCTATACATCAACAACAAGTTGTACAGTAACAACAGTTGATTAGCAGTAAGAAACAGTTTCAGCAGTCAGAACACTGCATTATTTGGTCACTCAATTAACAGATACCTACCCCACTGCCAACTCAAGCATTTCGTCTTCTGCACAATTATTAGGTACTATAATTTTGTTAAAAAGTGGTTACTTCTACGCTTATGGTAATAATTACTTGCCCATAAGCTTACCATTAAAAACTTTTCTCTTGCAGGATAATCTCAGCCAACCAGAACTAGCCAAGTGGGAAGATGAAGGATTTTTTTATTCATGATTCTTTATGTATTTAGGAATTAGAAATATATATGATGAGTGAATGAAAGTGAAAGGGTCAAAATAATCATTTTCTTACATCCTTTTTGTATTAAATGCAAAAGAAGAAGTAAAAGATTTGATGGAGGCCTGTTGAGGCTAGTGTCAAAGAAGAAAAAATAGAAAATATGTTTAAAGCCTCCTGTATCTTCCTGTTGTGGCAATTGATTTTACTGCAAAAGTTGGAGCTGCTCTTGATAGTCTCCCATCCACACTCTGCATCTGCTTTTCCTTTTTAACTGTGAGGTTGGTAAATAAACTAGGAAAGCATGGGTCAGTTTTGACAGGTTTTGACAGGTATATGGATGAGCAACCATGATTTAGAGACTGCTTTCTTTTGTTGTGGGTTGCATTTCCACATTTGTCTTTACCAGTTTGCATGCACCAAATTCTCATGATTACCTTCTAGTAAGGACCACTTAGAACAGGTGCAGCCAACAAAAGAAAACTGCCATGATTTTTCTACTAAGTGGACAAATAAATAACCAAAAACAAACGCATGCATTTGAACCCTCACCCAAGAAAACCAAAAAGAAAAAAAAATCATTAAAAATTTTGAGGGTGGGATTATTTTTCTAGTTTTACATTAAAATTAATTAACAGGGGAAAAGAATTCATGAATTTTTATTACCTAAAGTGAGAGCAGAAGCACAGAATAAAGGAAGTTTTCTGATAGCTATCTGGGCCTTGGTGATTATTTACTGAAAAAGGTGGTGTACTTAATCTTCATAGACTTGACAAGTAAACCAAATTTTACAGTCCTGCCAGTTTATGTCGAGAAGTCATGATTTAGAGATTCTTTCCTAACGGAGAGATTGCTATCAGCCTATCATCACTTCTGTATGTTTCTGCTAAAAGTCTGAAACAACATAAGCACTAAAACCAAATTAGCAGAGAAGGTGCCTAACTTTTTTTTTTTCTTTTTCAGAAATTAAAAAGTTGAAACCCACTAAGTAAACTTGGGTTGCATTAGGTGTCAGTGTGGTTCCTTCTTTTTGTCCTTTGCCTGTCCAATCTCTCCTTCCATGATCCATCCATGGGCTCTGGTGGTGGACTCAAAAACCCAACAGCAACAATAACTCAAATTTACTAAATTGGTTTTCAAAAAGAAGTTTATTTTATTCTGCAGTCACGTTTCCTAAATATTTTAAGTGGAATTTGGAAGTGAATATACAAACAGATATTTGGCTTTATACATCAATCAAATTGTTGGTACCTTGTTGACCTCACCTTCCCCCTTCCCCCTTAAGCAAATCCCATCAATTAAGGCTTGGCTCGGCCTTATTATCTCCATACATGTGATTGGCTCGACCTCACCACCTCCAGCAGATATGTGCTCGGCTCGGCCTCACCACCTCTAGTAAATATGTGCTCGGCTCGGCCTCACCCCCTCAGCAGATCCCACCAATTAAGGGATAGCCCTTCTTGTCATAGGTCACATCCCACCAAATAAGGAGTAGCTAGCCATGCTAAGGTTCCAGCCATCAATCAACCTTGTCTACTCCAACTTGGACTATAAATGAGAGCTCACCACCTCCAAGCAAGGGGACCATCAGCTGCTACTTCTTCACTTCTCCAAGAGCTACCCAAAGCTCTCCGAAGCTTTCTATTTCTCTTCTACTAGAGCTCTTAAGCCTCTCTTCCCATATATCTCTCATGTATAATGTAATCTCCATATTCAAATACAAATACAAAGCTATAAACTATAGTGGATGTATCCCCATTATGGGTGAACCACTCAAACACTTGTGTTATGTGTGTGCTTATGTCTTAATCCGTTAGGTACAAATTCACCCGTTAACACAAATAAATAAACATCACATGATCTCAGGCCTAAAAAATTTCCTACAATTAATTGCCATCCAATAAGAATAAAAAATTATCAGTAGATTAGCAGACGTCTCCTTATCATTAAGAACTGTAGCAGGCATCTTGGTTTCTATTTATTCAGAAACCATTTACAATTAACATGTCAAGCTACGAAAGAATTTGTAAGAAAAATAGTTTTTCCTACACTAATGTAGTCTACAGTGCCAGCTGACTGCAAAAATTTTGCAGCTGTGCATACAACCTTCTTCTTCTTCTTCTTCTTCTTCTTCAGTGCAATGGTGCATTTGGTTTGAGAAAAACTTCCATTTTTCTTATTTCACGATCTGCAGCAATTTTTTTGTCAAACCCGTCCAAAGCCATCTGATCGTCTCGGCAGTCAGGGGAGCAATATGCAGTTAGGTATCTGCATCATCAAAATTTCAGGTCATATTAGTATCAGTGGGAAACATCACTTATTTTGATGTAATCTAATCTAACAAACAAGGAAAAAGTGCAACATTTCAAAAAGTTGCTAAAAATGCATAACATGCATATTGCAAGCGTATAAATCGGTCAAAAATAAATATCTGTAATGTACAAGGTAAATATGAAACAAATAATTGGGGTTGCTCTGTTTTCACAAATAATCTACTTACTTCCCCCTAGTTTTCCACATTTGTGCATGGTTTCTAAAATTGATGACTAGCAAGAAAGCTTCTACATAACTTATGAGTAATGCTACACGAATCACATTCTTTTCTTATTACATCACTAGTAAAAGAGAAACCGACGTGTATTAGCAACGTGGGATACACATAATTTTATCGATATAAATTATTTTTTAAGGGATATGAACTTTTAAAATTAGATTAGACTAAAAACGGGGAGATCACAAGCTGATATCAACATTTTGGCGCTATGAACTAGTTCCAAGATTTGAAATCCTATTTGCCTAAAAACCCAATTAGAAAAAAGAAATTAAAGCAAAGTCGACTTACGTACCCATACATGTAGACATCTCCATCTTGTTTGAGTTGCTTCTTGCACAAGGAACAGCGTTTGAGGAAAGCTCTGAACCCTTCATCAGGCTGCTCCTTAAAGACGTAGTCGCTTTTCTCCTCAGTCGGCGAATTCAACCTAAAGATACTCCGCTGATGTTGAGACTGAGGCTGCTTCTCCAGCTGTTTGATGGTTGGCCTCTGAGGCCTTTTCTGCTGCGCCGGTTCCCCCAGAGGCACAGACGGCTGAAGAGGCTGAATATGGGTGTACAACCCTGTCTCACCCTGACTTGATGAGCGGAGAAGACGGCACCGTTTTGAAGCCATTGCCTGCAACTGGGTTCTGGGTTCAAGAACAAAAGACTTGGGCTTTAATGGTTTTGAAGCAGAAATCACAGGGATTAGGATATGGGTTTTGGGTAAAAATGTTCAAGATGAAGTCTTTTTTATGTTTAGTGATTCAAATTGGGGAGAGTGAGCTAGAATTAGGGTTTTTGTGTGAAAGTATTAGTCTTGCAGAAGAAGGAAAAGTAAAAGAAAGAGGGAGGGAGTTGCTAGGTTAGACCTATTGGGTTTCTAGGGGGTAGTGGTTGATTGGAGGGAGCAGTGAGTGTGGGAGAGAAAGGGGGCTTTATATTATTTACATATGAATTTAATTTAATCCTCAGAGAATGTGGAGAAGGATATTTCTCTTGAAAATTAGTTAGGATTCTGAATTATTTTCCCATAACGGTTATGATACGATTTGCCGCCACTTGAAAAAGTTTGTGTTCGAGTCCTTTACGGATCGTGATTAGTTGCATTTTGTGTTTAAAATGGATTTATCGTCCAGGTTTTGTTTTTCCAAGATTTCTGTGCTTATCTACTTTCTTTTTCTGTTATTTTGGGGGTTGTTTGCTTGGATAAATTCAAATTTTCTAAACGATATCTTGAAAGTTTGGATTTCAAATTGGGCTAGCTAAGCCTGTCGGGCTCTTTTTATATTTCGAGCTCGGTAAAAGCCAGGCTTAAGAGGGGAGGGGGAAGCTTTCAAAAAAGAGAGAAGGAAAATAGATCCATTTTAACATGTACAACGTCTAGAGAGCCTATTTAGAGAAAAACAGCCATTAAATAATTTTAAGAGTATAGCCGCACGGCTATACTTGTAAAATATATTATTTTAAAGGTGCCGCCGCCCGGCTGTACGCATTAAATATATTATTTTAACGGTATAGCCGCACGGCTGTACTCGTTAAATATATTAGAATATTTTAAAGGTACAGCCGAACGGCTATACTTGTTAAATATATTATTTTAAAGGTATAGCCCACCGGCTTCTCTCTCTCTCAACTCAAGCTTCATTTTCTTTTTCTTTCGTTTCGGCTGCTGTATTGATTGGATTGGATTGGACTCTCTCTATGAAAACCATCATATGTCATTCAGCTATTGAAATCTCCACTAAGATAACAACTATGATGCTATAAAATCTTAAAATCCTTAGAAGAAACTCTCTGATAATCGTTTTTCCATTAAACAAACCAAACAAATTGCAAAATCAGAAACATACGTAAATTGGACGCCACGGTAGCCACGGATAGAGACTCGAACAGTTAGTTAGGCGGCCTGGGCGGCCTGGGAGGGTCTAGGCGGGTCTGGGAGCCAGGGCGGTTTGTGTCTTTTTTTTCTTTTCCCAAATGAAGATAGCGGGAGACTCGGCCATGACTTGGTCTCTGCCTTGTATTCTCTACGATACTTCAGAATCAGAGATGGGCTTATTGTCTATCAGTCGCTCTAGATTCTTCCTTCTTAAAACTAGTTTGACCTGTGAAAAAGGATATTAATCTCTGCAACTGCAACTTGGTTGGAGTAAAAGGTCTTCAGAATCAGAAGGACCTTACGTGTCAGCAGAAGAAACGAGTAATGGAGTCACCAACGTAACGTGGAATCTACGTGTAATAGATATCTCACCATTTGAAACCTGACCTGTTAGGCTGTCACCTGAGAAGAAAAAGACAGAAAACCCATGCCATATATATATATATGCAACATTCCGCCATTTTCTCCTCTCAACTCTATTTATTTTAAACCCTAATATGTAGCCTTCAATCCAGTTCTCTCTATTTGCTTATTGCACGTAATATTTCCAAGTTGAGAAATAGAGTGTTATGAAATGATGAAAGAAAGCATGCTGCATTTGAAGTCCTTGAATCACATCTCATTGGTGTGTGCAGATCAGTTGAGAAATCCCTTGATTTCTACCTGAGTGTTCTTGGGTTCTTCCCAATTAGGAGGCTTGGCTCCTTTGACTTTAA